TAATCTTAATGAACTACAATCTATGGAATGATTTTGTTGAAAAACATGATGGGTGATTGATGATTTTTCTGATGTTTCATATTTTAAGTAAGCTAAGTGTTCCTTATATCACATTTCAATAGATCTTTTAGTCTGTAGTCTGTAAATTTAGTCGTTAATTCCTGACTTTTCTGTATTCTCGACTTTGTCTTTTGGATTTCCTAAGAAGCTCTGTAGTGTATGACTTGTTTTAATCCTAGGGAAATCCAAAGGACAAAATCGAGAATTCGGATAAGTCTGGAATTTACGAAATTTAATGTAAGGACTGCGATGCAAAATATTATGAACATACTGAAAGATCTATTAAAATAAGATATAAGGAACACCCAGCACACCTAAAATATGGAAGACCAGAAAAATCAGCAGTTGCCCATCATGTTTTGCAACAAAACCATTCCATAGATTGTAGTTCGTTAAGATTAGTTAATCAAATTAACAACAACAGGCATCTAGATGCCTATGAGAGCTTAGTATTAGGTCAACAAAATAATATTATGAATAACGATGGTGGACCAATACCTAATAGTTTACTATATAGCTTGATGAAATAATATTTTTAGTTATCAGATTTACCTGACTAGTAGATAAGGCAACAATGTGAAATTAATTTCAAGACATTTAAGACGCAGGTATCTTTGTTATAAATAAGGCCAAAATTGTATGCAGACTAAGTTTAGTCTTCCTCTCGAACATGATCACTTGGTGATTGAAACACATGTGGAGGTGTTGAAAATAACGGTTTGACGTTGGGATAGAACTCCAGTAATATTCATATATTACTTACACAAAAGAAATAATTGAGGGTTCCCGTTTCCTACTGGTATATGTGTAGTTGTCAACACTTGCCAAATTTATTTACGCCAAAATTATTTTCCCGATTGTACTTCCCGATAAAAGTAGGTAATCAGAGGCACAGCCGCGCTGTTAGAATGATCATGATTTTAACCAGTGTTGAATATCTAGTTAAGGAATAATATTCAATGGCTGCTCAAACTTCCATGGGTGTGTCCCACATATGTCTGTCACATGTAAGTCAATTTTTATGATTCTTTTTAATAAAGTTGTTGACTATAAACCGTTTTTTTAGCTGATCGGTTAAATCTGACCAAAATTTTCAATTTTGGGAAACTAGAATAATCTCTTTTCAGATCGAAAATATTAGTGGGTGTTTTTTGAACTATTCGCCAAAAATTAGAATTGTCGAATTCCGTTTCGAATGATATAAAAAAAGGCAGAGTAACTTTCAGTACTGTTTTATATTTGTTATGATATGATATAAACCAATTTGCAATACAATGCAATGTTTCGTTCATTAGATTTCATCGACTTTATTTTTTAAATACAGACCTCTACTTTTTTTCATCGCTTTTTGTAGCTACTGTAATAACAAATTCATCTATGTATTACAATACAAGTGTTTACCGACATTTTTCTCATTATAACTGTATGATCATACAATTCCCAGTCAGAGCTACCTCATATTTTTTGGGTCTAGAACTCAGAGCTATACATAAACTCCACATATCGAAAGAACAGGTAATATGCCACGATATCTCACGTATTCTAAAAACACTTTATTGTGTGATTTTCACTAGATAGTTTTACAAAAACGCAACACGTGTTTCGCCATACAGTGGCTCCCTCGGGCGTGTCTAAACGATATTTCGTTTAATGTTCAAAATTTTGTGCATCGTTCCTTAAACAACATATTCGCTCTTAAAATAGTATTTTCATGGAAAATTTCCAGCATTTGTGGTGTTATAACCATGCAAACTTTCCGCATTGTTTCTTTCAATTCGTCAATATTGCCAAAAGTTGAGCCAAATACCTTGTCTTTAATGAAGCCCCACAATGAAAAGTCCAGAAGGGTTAGGTTAGGTGAACGTGGTGACCATTCAATAGGACTGTTATTTCCTATCCGTCATCAAATCATAATCGTTTTGAGAAAATCTCGGCATATAGTTCTGCGATGTGGCGGAGCTCCATCATTTTGGGAAAACTAATATTTTCTCAGAATATTAAAAGGCAAATCTTCCAACAACTCAACTAAAGTCTCCGACAAGAATTTCAAATATAATTTTTCCGTCAAAGATGTCTCAAAAAAGTAAGGACTATAACATACTCTGGCATATGTCCTCTCCACGCCAGTGGGATCATCATGTCTCTCTTTCTTTTGGTGGATAACAGGTAGACAATTATCTTAGTTCCGCATTCGGGATAATTGGATCGCTACAAGACTTATAATCTTGGTGTCTAGCACACCAAGCCAAACATTAACTCCAAAGCTCTCTTGGAAATTTGTTGCTTTATGTAGGAAGTAATTTTCTTTTCGTCAATAATCAATGACAATGATCACTTCTGTTAAACCATCCGTTATTTGAGAATTTACTCTCAACACACCATAACATTTCATGACATATTTCATTATCCTGACGATGTTGTCTGAAAGGCCATCTACAAAATATTTTTTCCTATTACAGTTCTTGAATAGAACTGGCCGATACTTGATGAAAATCCATATTAAAAAACTAATCAATATAGTTTAATGTATGATTTTCACTATAAAACATAGTGAAACAGTAAAACATAGTGAAAATCATACAATAAACTACATTGATTAGTTTTTTTTTATATTACAGTTCGTTAAACGTAAGTGGAGGATTTTTCGTACTTGGAGAGGTTTAAATTTATTTCTTCTCGACATTTTTCGAACTGACGTAGTCGATACAGCACTATGATGTGCAATATTTCTCAGTAATAAATTCTGAATCGAATAAATATCACTTTATTATTACTGAGAATTTCTTCTGAACTAACCCAAAATGCCAATTTCAGTATCGCCACCTCTCTCAGTTACTGTACAACTCTGAGGGTTTTTCTAATGAACCATGATTCTCAAACTCTTCTCAATGCGCTGAAAATATCTTTTTGATAGCTGACGTCTCTCAGGGTACAATTCCTGTTACAAAGCTAGAAATCCAGTAGCATTTCCCAAACATCTCGCGTGTACGAAAAACATATCAACTTGTTCTTCATTAGAAAAATTGACAGTAAATTTGACAATTATACATATTCTGTTAGTTCATGACTCACGTTCATCAATTCAATTCAGTACTCTCATACATTTTTTCTCCGCTATTTTTATTTGCCCGAAAACATCAGAAACATACATAGCTGAATTTGTTATTACAGTGGCTACAAAAATCGATGAAATAACTAGTGGTCCGTATTTAAAAAAATAAAGTTGATGATGAAATATAATGAACCAAAAGTCGCATTGCAAATTGGTTTATATCAGATTATAACAAATATGAAACAGTATTGAAAGTTATAATAATAATAAAACGTCTTTATTCACCTGAAGTAAGAACATACAGAATATACAAAAAAAAATGAGGTGAATGGGCGGAGTGTCAGCAAAGCTGTTTTCAAACTCAACCTCAGCTGTTTTTAAACTAAGCCTTTCCTCTTCTTTTTTTATATCATTCCAAATGGACGGGTAGAGTCAAAAAATTAAATTCGACAGTTCTAGTTTTTGACGAATATTTCACAAACAATCACTGATATTTTCGATCTGAAAAGAGATTATTCTGGTTCTTCAAAACAGGAAACTTTTGTCCGATTTAACCGATCTTGTAGGTGTTACCGTTTACGAGATAGCAATAGTGGGGTCAGCTGAAAAAACGGCCAATATAAGTTTTGTACATGTTGGGTAATGCATTAAATATTTTTCAGGTGAGGTAATTTACGAAACAAGTCAAAATATTGTAGAGTAGATAAAATTCTTCGACAGCCCTAGAAGTTTGTGTGTTTTTGGATGTGTTGCGTGCAATTTTTTTTTGGCAACCGTGTAGAATAACAAATCAATGCGACACATTTCTTCATTTAATTTTTTTGTAGAACAAAATTTCGAACATTTTATTCCTTATTTGTATTAAGTATTATAATTCGAACAGAAGGTAGGTACTAACAGAAACAATTGCTAATATTGAATGAATTCTATTTGTTTGAAATGCTCATTATATTTAAATGCCTCATATTGAAGTCAGAACAAGAAGGTTAAATTTCCGTTTCTCATTATCAGCAAATAATGTCGCTGAAGTTCGACGAATGCTTTGGCCTGTGTAATTTTTTGGATAAGTAAATTTAAAAATTCTGTGATTCTCAATCAGAAATTCTCAAACCTATCGATACCAACAGGCTGAATCGAACATTTTCCTTTTTTTGTGACTCACAAATAATCTGCTATGTGGAATATGGGATGTGCGTAAAGCTAAATATGGCCTATACAACAGCAGCTTTTCTTACCCAGTTATAACAACAGCAGCAGCAGCTGCTGCTGCATTGGAAATTTCGTAAGGTACATTTTCAAACTCAATATCGCTGTTGCTTTCCATAAATTATTGCGATAACTGCGAACAAAAACCATGCTATGGTAATGATCAACTGCATCTATCAAAATCATACCTATCAAGATGTTCATACTTACAGTAACAACAACGATTTGATTTTTTCCGAAGAAAAAAACCTACGCGAAGTGGATACTTCCCGGACGATTGCCGAAAAAGAATTTCTGTCCTATCAATTTATACAGTAAACTGTTATTTTCTTCATGTTCTATATATTGCAATCTAGTGATATCCTCCAGTCATTTTTGTTAAGATTTGAATTGAGATTGAGATTTTCAATCGCTGAAGTATTGGTGAACATTAAATGTTTCCTATTGATGGAAATTGTTAATCAACATCTCATTATTATATGCCTTGTTACAATGTGACATTGTTGAATATTTTCCAGTATTCTGAAATTCGTTGTATTTGCTTGTATCTTCAGAAAAACCGTACATGGGGATCATGATAAAACTGAATCAGTATAAGATATAAAGAAATGAGCATTAATACTTATTTTTCTTTTGGAAAGTTCTTTTCCAAAATTCCAATGTATTCCATTTGTATTTCCAGAGAGGTTTAGGATGTATGCCTAAAAGAGGTCTCAAAACTTCTCAGTGTGAAATATTCCGTTTTTATAAACTTCATGCGACTAAGGGTATGTGTGAACCTATCAGCATGATTGTACCTCGTAAAAGTGACCAGTTTCACGATGATCTCTACCCAGATACAATTGGTTCTAAGCCTGCACTCTCAGCTCAAGAATGGATTAGAGGATCAAATGCAATGCCAATTCTTGTATCAATGAAAACAGGTGAGTAATAATTGGAACACATATAGAGAATTACATTTTACAATCTTATGAAATTAAAGCAGATTAAAATTGATACCTCATCAACTTATAAATGAAAATATATTTTACAATTGGAAACTTTTCTTCTTGTACACATAGTTGAAAAATACAGAGAACAAGTGTGGACAAGATGTGCAGAATTGAGAAGAGATGAATTCGTACACTATATCCCTCGATGGCTGGGAATTTCTGACGAGGTGGTTTATCATTATGGCTATTTTTGTACAAAAAATATTACCATTTCGCCATAATGGAATCTGTTTATCAAACTAGCACCAAGGTTTGCATCCACTTGAAGATCTGGGATCATAGAGGTGGCAAATGAAACATAACAAGTTTGAAATATGGGTCTACTGGATTTAACCAAATTATATTATCATGAGAGAGAACAAAATCTGGGCTTCGCTAGACCGTGGTTGAATGGAACTTGTACTATGAAACATTATGTCTGCAACATTTAGTATTATATGTTACATTCAACCACGGCCTATCAGCCCAGTTTTTATTCTCTCTAATCGTGACTCCGGCCATGAATGACTATGTCCTTATAATTAATGTTATCATTTGAAAGTAACATTTATGAATGAGAGTGTTAGCAAAGCAGAATATTTTCAAAAATTATAAAACAAATGCTGTAATATAGTTAAAGTTCAAAATATCATTTTAGTTGTTGTTTATTGAGATGATTGCATCTGGATTTGGATTACTAATANGGGTTGATCTGTCCTGCATTCGACATTTCAATGTATATGCTCATATAAGATTGACTGGTGTGTCTCACGTTTGCTCATGCATCGATCCATTGATGGGTGACGATAAAAAAATATGATGAACTGTGGCACCTGTCAAATCTATTACCTAATGAATGTTCCCACGGATGTTCGTGACATCCGCTACTTTTCTTCGAATATGCTTTAAGTTTGCTTTAAGAGTATGCCTGAGGTTTGCAGTAATTTTGCAACTGAATTCTAAATTTATTAGCAATTCGAATGAATATTTTTGAAAACTTACAACTTTTTCAAATAATCCATTCAAACTTGTGCTATTGAGTTGAGAATGGGGAAAAGCTCAATAATTATATTTGATTTGTGTGATAAATAATAAATAAATTTATGTGATAACAGTTTTTGGAATGACAGAAATATACAAGAATAAGTCGAAAGCTTGTTTTCATTGAAAGGGGGTAAACTTTTTGGGAGAAAAAGGTCTTCAGTTTTCTAGAAAGCCAAAGATGAAATCCTTATTCATTTCTCTGATCACAATTCTGCGACACAGAATGCCAGTAGAATTGAATCTATAAATTATTAGGAAAAGCCTCATTAAAATTTCAATTTTTATACAAAAGAACTGAGTCTATTACTTGAAATATATTAGACAAAAGAAATAAAACTCAGATACTCTTCAAAGTATAATCTGAAAAAAAAAATAATTTTTAAGGAACAATGTGTGTTTTTCCTGAAACTGTAGACTTGAAATGCACAAAATCAGTATTATTTGTGAATGTAGTTAAGGATTAGAATAACATAGAAAATAAGCAAATTAATTTTTGTCTACAGTTGTTCAGACGAAAATGTATAGTCTTCAGTTGAATGAAATGTAGATAAGAATTCTCGAAAACGCACTCCAGAAAATTGTTTTGCAAAATTTTTGAAAAGGAAATGGGCATATTAAAACTGAAATTCGGATTAATTTCCATATTAAGCATCCAAATATAAAATTTTACTTTTTATTTTTACATTCCAATGTTATCCGAATAATCTTTGTCCTCCAGTTGCGCAACAGAGGTAGATTTCTTTACTTTAATACCTGAAATTAGATTATTCAAATTGAAAGATCTGAATTGAAACCTCTTACTGTAAAAAGAGTATTTCACCAAACACCATGTTGATGTAATGTGATGTTTCAAGTTTAGAAAATCAAAAACAAAAAGGTTACTGGAGTGTTTTCCCAACACCAAATCGTTATTTTCAACACCTCGACACGTGTTTCGATCACCAAGTGATCGAAACACGTTCCTCTTCAAAGAGGAAGATTAAAACTAGAAACTTATGCGAGCTAACCCTATTTATGCTATATAGGTATCCCATATAGGTAAACCATCCAGGCTTACCACCCATACAGGTATACCAACCTAAATTAATTTTACAATTTTGCCTCATCTATTATTTCACAATATGTTTATATAAAACAATTTTTAGCTATATAAAAATTAATTTCACAATATTGCCTATCCAAATTTATTTTTGCAATGTGTCCTTATGTAGTAATCAGTAAACCCTGTTGGGAAAAAACTCCAAAGGTTCCAAACAGTGCATCATAAGTAAATAAACAAAGGTAACAAGAATTTTTGAGGCATTGGTAGTCATAAATATCATCTAAAGATCCTTATCAGCATACTCATGTATTTTTCATTCTAATAATAACAACTTGGAGATAATTGCATGAGAGGAAGTATATTGGAGTCCTAGTTGTATTACATTACTAATGGAAAAAACCATAAATAAAAAAGAAATTAAACTAACTTCATAAGTTGAAATCCATCTCTGTTCTAGCAATAGATTTTCGTTGTTAATTGAAAAGAATATTCTAAATATAAAAATGGAGGAAGGTTTTTGTTTACATCTGTAACTAGATGCAAATTGTTAAGAGATTCAGAATCCGATTGTGTAAAAATATTAATAGATTCCAAACTTTGAGTGGAGAAAATGAGTAAATTGAAGTTTATCGACATTAATAAATGTAATACTGAAAGATTTTAAGTAAATTCAAAAATGTAAACCAAATTCTAACTTTGTAAAAAAATTACAAAATCACCTCAGAAGTTTAGAAGTAAACCCATGTCTTTCAAGTCCGTAACATTATTGAGTGGGACTTGATTAGAATAAGAGAATGCAAAAGGAATATGTTTGCGGCTGAAAGTTATCGAATGGCATTTACGTGTATTAAGTTCCATATCATTGACAAAACACCAAGTAGAAAATTGGTTGAGTTCACTCTGGAGTTCAATAAAGTCGTCTTGTGAATCAATTTTCTTGGAAACTTTCAAATAATCTGCTAAGCATAGAAATTCTGCATTAGAAAATCAGTACCGAATGTCGGCCATAAATCACCAGATTTGCATATAGGGGTTGTAAAGCTGTATTTCCAGAAGTCTGGCCAAATGCCCTGTTTAATAAAATTTTCGAGAATAATTTGTAAAGATTGTGCTGTACAAAGTTACAGTGCTTCAATAATGTTGGAGGAATACCATTCGGACTATTTAATTTCTCATACATTTAAGAAATTTACAGGCACAGATTGAAAACAAGATAAGAGAGAGGAGTGTACAGGTTCGTAATCCGAACAGGTTGTTACATAGTACACTAAACTAAATAATTTTGGAACATTACGACAAGCTTAATCTCCATACATTTTTCACCATCATAATACATATTATGCTTACGCTTGGAGTTCACAAAATTCCAGTATGCCGCAATATTAGTCACTGCCGAATATTCGGTGAATTTAATAAATTCCATAAAATCAATTTTTCTTTTTTTTTGCATTGTGAGCGTAAATGAGAAAATGTTAGGTAGTCAATGGGACACCCTGTAATATTGAATTTCAAGTAGGCTTCTTTCTTCAAGTAAATAGATGTTTCAATTAAAAAAAATCCAGTTGAAATTTTTTTAATTGATATAAAATGGTGAATTATGTCATAGAAAACATCAAGCATATCTTGGGTTGATCTGTTGAGTAACAGTTGATCTCAATTGACAAAACCCAAATAATATTGGATAGATTTAAAGTCAGCGTTTTTAAAATCAATAATACTCATCGGCCATGATGCTAATTTATAAAAAGGGACGATATTTGTCTGGAGTTATCATTTACAACTAAATCAAGTATGGAACCATAGTCATTGTAAACAATAGTCACAATAAATGAAATAATTCTCTAAACTAAGTTCTGCGTTTTCAAAACTATTGCTCAGCCACGTTTCAGTGAGTGCAAGACTGTCGAAGGAATTTATGGCTGCATTCGTATACAGTTTTCTGAACTTTGTTCAAAGACCACGGACATTTTGGTAATAAATTTGGATTTTTTTATTATATTGTGTTTTAGTTCTTTCGTACTAACTATTTTAGGACAACAAATCTTGTACCAATGTCTATTTCTACATTGTCCAACCTTGTTTTCAGATCTTTCAAAAGCTTTTCTTGCTCCCACTGTTTGACTGTTGAATCAAAGTTTAGAAAAATATAACCTTTAAGTTTGCTGCGATTCCTCATTTCTGGCAAATTGAAGATCATCAGGCTGCAGAAGGAGCATCTTTGGCGTTCTTAAAATTCAGAAATCGTGATTTCCTCAGATAATACAGAAGGTGAAACGGAGGTTGTGTTGTTTCCGAAAGATTAGAGTTTATCCACTTCATTTCGTTATTCTTCTATGGTCCTTTATCAGCTTTGGAACTTGTAAAATATCTTCGTGACAGTCTTTACAGAGGAAGCCGGGAACCCCTGAGATCCATACTCTAATCTCGGTTGCATTGAGACCAGAACATTTTTTTATAGAAATCGATCACAAGTATCACAGGTTATGAAGTCCCTAGATTCCTTCTCAGAAGTATTACAAACAAAACAGTTGACAAGAGAAGTCATGACTGGAGGCTCGGAATCTTGTGCACATACAGAATTTGCACGCCACTGGAATTTACACATGCGGACTGCACTTTCTTTTGCACTCTATTTTTGTAAACACTAATTGTTTTTTATTTCGCCTAGGTTTACCAGCGATTTTGAACCTTAGTCACACGAGTTTTGAGAGAAGTATTCTGTTTTGCTAAGATTGTAATAAAATTTTCATCATACAAATTATATCACTGGAATCGCACAAATAGCATCTCACATTACTGAATAGCTGGATTCGAAAGTCCCACTTAGTACCACTTGTTTTTAACAATTTGATAGATGTAATTTATA